CACCATAGCCCAATAGAATCCGGTGTCACGAATATGAGCCTCTAATACAGAATATCCACCTATTACAAGTCTGTCTAGGAAAAATACGAAATAAACGATAGAGATAGAGGGGAGAGATCAAGGCTGTGAACGCCATGCAGCTACCTCGATACTCCCGGATACTACTGCTCAGCTAAACAAATCCTCACTCANNNAAAATCCGACAACCCATTCAACCACGAGTCCAACCATACCAAAATTACTAAATTCCGATAACAATTCGGCCTCTAAATCTAGAATTTTTGTTTTTGAAAAGTTTATAAATTTTCTCCAATTTCTTCCATTTGATTCACTAATTCTTGATGAAAATAACCATGAAATCATTAAATATAATCACTTTTGGATATTGAACACTTACCCCAATCCATATGGTGAAAATCACTTCGAAAATCGCTTCAATCCGAGCTCCATAGCTCCAAAAATGAGAAAACTCTCGGACTGCCCGAATCATACACTGTCCAGAAATTTTCACGGTTACTGTTCATGGGTACTGTTCACGGTACTGTTCACGGTACTGTTCATGGGTACTGTACACGGATAATGTTCATGTTATTGTACATGGTACTGTACACGGATAATGTTCATGTTATTGTACATGGTACTGTACACGGATACTTTTCACGCAGGTGCGGTTACTGTTCACACGTGCGAAAAATGCAGAAAATTGCAGCAGCTTTTCGTTTTACTAAAAAGGCTCTAGCTCCATCATACGAACTCGGAATTTGATGATTCTTATTCCTATGAGTAACAAATAATAATATGAACATAGCCCTTCAGTCGAAACTCAATTCGGAGCTCATTTTCTCAGTTCAATACCCATTTCGCTCGTTAAACAATTAACTCATGTTTCGTATCAAAAACCCAACCGCGACTTGATGAAATTAGACCAAACTTTCCAGATCACTCCTATAATTCATTATTTAAATTCTAGAAATCTCGAAATAAAATTTCGATCTCTAGAACTAAAAATGGACATTTGGATCATTACATGCTTATGCTCAAACGGCAAAAATCTTCCAAAAACTCTTCCAAAACTTATC